GAACTCCCCTACACCCCACCATATCCTTGAGATGATAAAGAGCTGTGTTCCGCACCCAGGAGGAAAACCACATTGTTTCTCCTGTACTAGAAGTTTGACTAACTCACAGACTCCTCTTTCCAGCAGCCTGGCATAGGATTTTCTGTGGAGGCTGAGGAGTGTGATTCCCATATAGTTGAGCACACCCTCTTATCCCCCTTCTTGAAGATGGGAAGCACAACCCAGGTCTGCCAATTCAGAGGTACAGCCCCAGATCTGAACGCAACACTGTAGAGGCATCTCAACCAAGATAGCCCTACAACATCCACATCATTAAGGAACTCAGGGTGAACCTCATCCACCCCAGGGGACCTACCACCAAGGAGTTGTTTAACTGCTTCAGTAACCTCGCTCCTGGTTATGCATGAGTTTCCCCCTTTGTCACAAGACTCTGCTACTGCTACAGGAGATGTGTCCGTGAGACTAAGGAGGTCCCCGAAGTATGCCTTCTACTGTCTGACAATATCTTCCGTCAAAGTCAGCAGCACTCCACCCACACTATACACAGTGTTGGTAAAGCTCCTGTCCAGTATACTGGTTCCAGAGCCCAAGATATGCATTGAGGTGAGCCTGACTTTATCTGTCTGGTACCTCTCAATCTCACACAATATCTCAGGCTCCTTCCCCAATACAGGCGACGTTTCATGTCTCCATCGCCAGCCTCAGTAGACAGGCATCGGTCTGCCAGGGTCTCTACCCTTGGCCACCACTGGCACACATTGCACCAAACCCCTACGGTGCCTCCCATGTCCCTTCTTCAGGCCGCTCCAGGCTGGCCCCATGTGCTGAGGCCCAGCCCCCAGGTTCCCACCATCAGGTGCCATCCCCAAGCCTGGCTCCAGGGTGGGGCCCCAGTAACCCAATCCCAGGCAGGGTAAACTGTTGGCTTTATTTATCACAGTGTATAAACATAGCTTAATAATTTTTTTATTCCCTTACCGTGTCACTCAGCTTCAACAAATATGTGGAAGTGGGATATGCTACTTTTGCCCAACTGGAAATAATGAGATCCAGTAGCGAGTTTCAGTAGTGAGTTACTGGCAGGAGCTGGTAGTGCCAGTAAACCTACAATAGAAACCTACAATAGAATTGTCTTGTGAAAAGATATTTAATTTAGGAAAAATACATTATAAAAATAACATTTTGTTCTATCAGCACTGGAGATGAGCACATTTCAGGGAACTTTGGCCTGCTGGACCAGGTTGAAGCTCTCAAGTGGATCCAGCAGCACATTCACAACTTTGGAGGAGACCCAGGATTAGTTACCATATT